CATACTTTGCATGGTTGGCTTTATTTCTATTAGTACTTTAAACTGTTAGCTTTAGCTTTAGCTTTTATTACGATATATTTTCTTATTTTGCTTGACCTCTAGTGATCATACTTCAAAAGGTATGAAGTTTTGGACTGCTTTGGAGGTTAACTATTATTAACTAAATATCATGGGTATTTAAAACAATGGTGTGTGATTGCCATATATACTTTGTGGTTGTAGTTGTGGTTGAAAAGGTATAATTGTTTTTAGCATACTAGATTTGTAGAATATATGTGTTTTTCATTGCAAATGCAGGTAAAAAAAATTGGTTTTGATCATATGTATAGGGAAACTCTGTCAAATTTTTTTTAGAATTTATACCAACTAAAATGACCAAATTACAAAAAATCTATTGAATAAATTTCAAATTATTGCATTTTTTATCAAAAAATTGTAGTATTGCAAATGCATATTTTTTTAAAAAGTACATTTTATCATATATATGGGGGAATTTTGATAATTTTTTTAAATTTTATGTCCACTAAAATTTTTTTAAAATCTGTTACAAAAATTCAGAAAATGGCATGAAAATGAAATATGGAAAGGAACTTAGGCAAAATGGACGAAATCTGGAGAAGGAGCTGCTGAATCATTACCGGCCATACCAGAAATGTACTCCTAGTCGGTAATATCAGTTTCCAACTTGCATTTTGCCGGTGAATTCCAAGATTCCAACTTGTATCTTGTTGGTAAAGTTGCAAAAAATAACCAACAGGAAGCTGGTCGGTGATTTGGGCGCCAATTGCAAAAATTTTGGTTCCTGCTCTCAGTCACCTAGCCATGTGATGTTTGTCGGTGAAAAAGATACCGACTAACTATACATTGGTAAGTTGCCATATATATACCCCCACAGCCCTACCCGGCTTATTTCTTCTGGTCTTCCTTCTTATTCTTCTTCCTCTTCCTCTTCTTCTTCTTCTTCTTTTTCTTCTCCTCCGGCTTCCTCCTCTTTTTCTTCCATTCAATGCTGCTGGATTAATTGTTTATATATGTTTATAATTACATT